ATGATTTATGTAACAAAAACTATTTCTAAATTAAAGGTAAAATAGTCAAGATGACTATATATATATATATATACACACACATACATAAAGTTTTAGGAATTTTGTAACATTTGATACAAAAAGAAAAAAAGAATAATAATCAATTGTTTATACTGGATTATATATTATTTAAATTATTAATATAATTTTTATTTGACATACTATTATAAATTGGTTTTTGAAAGAGAGGAAGGAGTCCAAATAAAAAGAGGACTGCAAGAAAATTGGAAGGAGTTTGAATAAAAATAGGACTGCATGAAAATTGTAATTTGCAAAATTTGTATTTGAGACTATAAAAAGAGATGCATGCCTTGTTACTTAAAATGAAATTCACCAGACTTAGATAATTTCCTATATCTTAGGACTATTATATAGTCCTTCATCCATATTATACATTCCTTCATCCATATAATTAGTAAATGAAATGAGAAAGTCACGTGAAACCTCTCAAAGTTTCCTTACAAGACATTTTTAGTGTTGTGCCAACACATGTACTCATATTTGCCATCAATATAACTCAACAATGCTAAATAATAGCCATTTTATTTTAGGCTATAAGCCCTCATCTTTCTCTCCATCTAATTTCTTCCAATCTTTAAGCATATATAAACATGCATTTATACATTAGTTGTTGCCAGAATTCATACTTTCGATAATAGAAAAACAAGTTTCGATTATAAACAGGTAGACTAATCTTGTTTTTATTTTCATAATTTACAAACTAGAGATGATGATGAAAAAGATGAAATGCATGCAAAAATGGGGGGATGTTACACCAGCACTTTTAATATCTCAACAAAGATCACGCTTTTCTTCTCCAAGATTGGATACCATTATCGAAGAGGGATCTGGAAACAATGGAGTTGTAGCCATGCCCAAGAGAGTGTTGTTTCTTTTTCCTATCGTTGCTTCTTTGATCTCATATTTCTTGATGCAATGTCGTTATTTCAGGTGAACATATAATAATTTTTATATCTTTGTTATGATACTTAATGAATTTTATGTGTGCCTTACCTTGCATATATATATTGAAATTTAATTAGTTTCCGTGTGACTGGTAATCCACTTAACTTCATCCTTTTATTTTTTCAATTATGATTTTTTATCAAACATCAAGGTTTTGATAGAATCACGATGTGCGTTTTGATTGATTATATATTTAATGTTGTGATATATTGAAAGGAAACAACTATTTTTAAGTGATTAATCTTGTGAGTATCACTTATTTTTTAATTCAATAATAAACAAAACCAAACATGTCAAAAACTATATAAAAAACAAAAAAGTAATAATTGATTTAATAAAATTATATCAGAAGTTTATAATAAAAATAATAAAATAGATATTTTATTAAAACAATTTGCTTTTTATGTTTATATATAAGTACTCATAAAGTAATTATTAAAATTACTATAAAAAGTAATGAAATAATGCAAAAACTAAAAGATAAATAGACATAGACTAATTTTACAGCTTTACTCTGATACCAACTAAAATGAACATTGTCAGTATAAAGATTTAAAAATATATAACAAAGTAGATAAACAATCCAAGACAGCTAAGATTAGGTTTGCAATTGAACTTGACACAATGATAACTTACCAAGACATCAAGACTATAAGTAGTCAACCCCTATCTAATGCCAATAATCAAGACACAAACAAGAAGTATAGAAAACACTATGAAACTTGGTTAATTTTTCAGTGATTTAGGATGAATGCTGTAATGACAATTAATCTTTGATAAATTCTTAAAAAAGTTTAATGAATAACTAAGAGTAAGAACAAACTCTCACACGGAAGTTTTATTTTTTTAATAAATCAATACATATCTTAATTTTTTTAAAAACCTAAATACATTCTAAACAATTCTATTAATGATAGGTAAAAAATCCTAAATAATGATAGAAAAATAATAAAAGAGTTCTAAATAAAATAAAATAAAATCTAAATCAATTAGAAAATTAATACAAATCTCACAGAATAACTTCTAGGCCTTATTGTAAGACCTTCTCGATGTCTAATTGACCTAACATTTTAAATTAATATAAAATAAGCCCTTTTAAATCTTTAGGTAAATTCTTAGCCTGATCCAATGGTTGGATCAAGAGTCATGCATAATAGTATGATAGTATAAAATAAACAATAACATAATTACTCTAAAATCTAAATTTTCTTTGTCAAACCTTTCTTGTATTATATCAGCTTCATTTATCCAACATCATCTATAACCCACTTCCACGTGATGCCATCAACCACTATGATCTTACATACCTAGTAACAAAAGAAAAATAATCACTTTTTTTTTCCTTATAGGTTGTTTCTTAAGTTAAGATCTAGTGAATTTTGAGGCAGATGTAATAGGTTTGAAAAGGATTTTAATTCCTTGATTCACCTTTGATAAGAATGTTTGTTTCTTTATCAATATATATTGCTATTGTTATTGCTTTGACATAACTATTCATAGAAAACATTATATGTTATGTTGGAATTAGTAACCATTTTAGTGGTTGATTTTTCCCTTCTAAATTATTTTTTTAATAAGCTCGAAACCTCTAGGACATCACAGGCTTTGCTCAAGTCAAGAAATTGGCTGCAATGACTAGGTCAAGTTAAGTCTACCCAGGATTGAAAAGACAAGTCAAGCTAATATTTTTAAATAATATTTAGGTAAATGGAGACTTTTTATTGCTGATGAAGCTGAGGCTTTAAGATTGACAAAAAAATATAATCATTAAATCATCATACACACCAATTTTTATTTTCTTGAATCTCATACAAAATCTCATCAAAAAAATACTTATCGATAAGAACAAATTAATTATCTATAAGGTATGATCAAATTAAAATTAAGAAAAAAAAATAAAAAGTCTATATAAATCACAATGAATCCTTTAATGAAACACTAATTACTTGAGCAATTTCCCTTTTTTTTTAGCCTTTTATTAATTTTTTATTTATCATTGTATTTTTTAAGTTTCTTCCCTTCATGTTTCATGTATTGAGAATTGAGTTTGATGATTTATTTTGATTTATTTTCTTTAGAGATCTCATGATATAAAAAACATATTGACATTATGTTGATGCTTCATTTTGCAAAAAAAAAAATTTGGTTTTGTTGTTTGCATAAAATTGAAAATGAGGTGATCAAATTTGAAAGTAAGGCAAAAAATCAGGGGTTTTGCTTTGTTTTACTGTTTATACAATGTTTTTTTTAGAAAGATTGCCTTTATATTTTTTTGTATTTATACGTCTTGGTTCAAAACTTCATTTTATTTACATTTCAATTCTTGAATTTAAAAGAAAAGAGAATCTTTAAAAAAAGGTGAAAGAAAGAAAGTTGTTAAATGACTATAATTTGACAATAAAAAAATGATTTTTTACCAATAGAAGAAATTTCAATAAAGGTCTTTTACCCTTTATTTTGCTTAAAAATTGATTGTAATTGAGAATTTAGTGTTTTGTGATCAATTAAAAGGTGTTTTAAGTAGACAAATTGATTTAGTAGGGGGTATAAAGACATTTTACAAGTAACTTTTAGGTAAAAATAAATTAAAAAAATATTTTTTATGTCTAAAAAAAACTATCCTAAATTTTCTATTATTATTATGATGGTTAGAAACTAAGTAATTAGACGATACATCACCTAAAAAAGAGGTTGTCGATACCTTGAGCAAAGAAAAAAAAAATTAAGTTCAAGCAATCAAACTTAGCTTGCATGTCTGCTAACATAACCTTTCTTTTAAAAGAGCCAAGTATAGCTTAATTTTTTTTAAAATTTTTTTATTTAAATTTAAATTCTTTAAAATGGATTAATTAAAAATATATTTGTAATATTATTTTATTATATATAGTTCAATTTCTACTTTGTATAAATAAAATGACATCACCTTGAAATACTTTTAAAAAAAGGTCTTTAATTGAAATTCGTTTAAAAAAATTAATAAAACTTATATTATTTATATTGTTTTCAATTTTCAATTTTTTTTTAGTAAAATTATAACATATTTTTCTAATATTAGCAAGCTCTCTCTTTGTAAGGCCCTTCATAATATCTTTTGGTTCTTTTCTTAAATTTTATTGAGTTATTTTTCTTTATATATTTTTTTTGTTATGGTATAATTAAATAAAAAACTATTTCTTTTTTAAAAAAAGCTCAACTAAATTCATTATCAGAGTGATAAATTTGGCAAATAAATCCAAGTCGATAAACAAAATTATTTCAAAATTTTAAAAAATTAAATAAAACAACACCAATTTTAAAAAAAATTGTTTGAGTTAAATTTATTTGTTGTTAAGTCAAACTAGTCATCTTAAATCAACTTTAATACAATTTAATTTAAAGCTCAAATTGCATAAATTATGCAATGATCACGTCATAAAACCAAGCCAAATTGATAAAAAGAAGAAAACTCTGCTAACAAATTATTTTATTTTCATTGAATTCTATGTTTTTACTCTCTTAAAAATAAACATATAATTAAATTAAAAAATTTAAATAGATATAACACAACATATCTGTATTTGCATCTACTCTTTTTGCTATGTATTGATACAAATAAGCTATGATAACAAGTTATTTTGTTTCAATTGAATTTTAATTTTTTAATTTAAAAAAATATTAACATATAATTAAATAAAAAAATTAAATAGCTTAACACAATTAAAGAACATGTTTCTTTATTTGTATCTATTACTTCGCTTTAAAGTTCGTTTTTTGTTATCATTAGCAACATTTTTTAGTATTTATTATTTATTTACACAACTAATTATAATTAATTTTATTAAATGCACACAAAATTTTCTATTCACATTTGAAATTTTTCCCAGTTTGAAGGGGAAAAAAAATCCTTATCAGGGCCTGCATAATCTTTTTGTTTTTGTATGTTAAAATCAACTTTTAATTGGTCCGCAGTGGAGCGACCCGTCACTAAATGTTCATGGTAGAAGAAGGTAGACATGTGTATAAAATGTAATGAGCATCAGATATCACTCTTTTCTTTTAAATCACCCTCAAGCTCCTTGTGTCAGTCCTAACACATTTTCAAGTTGTTCAGCAATGTCAAAACAAAATACACGACGACTACAATTATCATTTAATAATCTTAAATTGGAAAGCATCGTCACCTCTTCAACTAGAAAGGTCTTTTTCACTCCAGGATGGTAAAGTTTTGTCCAGACAAGGCCCATCAAAAACCAAAAAAGAACCACCTAGGACTTTTTAGTACCTGCATCGAGTATCTATGAGATTAGTGTCTGGTTATTAAATCATCAAACTGGACTAATGTATGTGTAACTTGTTAATGCATGCAAGCTCCAGCAAACTAGTTGCTATCACATTAATGGAAAATCTTGGCAGAGAACACATCTTGAGTCAAAATGTTATGCTGCATAATAAAACTACAGTAGCATTGTTTAAATATAACATTTTCATAACAATATAGCATAGCTCGCCACAAATATCCATACAAAATTCTAAGTTGTAATAATACCATAAGAAATGCTGAACACTAGGCAAATGTTTTCAATGATTTGTGCACATGTAGAAAGGAAACAGGCAGAAAAAATTATCCAGAAAATAATAATTGGACAAATGAGGTGGTAAATAATGCAGCTGAACAACAAGCCCAACACAAAAAAGGAGATATTTTGGAGGAAAATTCATGATAATAATATTTATAAGAACCATTACAACTAACATGTATATCGGATGAATTTCTAGTAAGTATCATATATAAAGGTGAGATGATCAAATTAGATCCCCATATTAATTTTTGAACCAAAAAACAGGCATCGAGCATTACAGAAATTGAAAGCATGTCATAAATATTCTTCACAAGCCTGAAATTCCAGTCAATGATTGCTTAGTTTTCATGTTTTGATGTGAAAATGAATATATATAAATTTAAAGGAAATTGTCTGGGAATAAGTTTACTACCTTGAATTTTTCATATGAAGCAACAAGAAGACAATTGAAAGGATTATACAAGAACCGCCAACAAAGATGTAGGCAACTCCAAGGAAGTCATTCCTTCCTCCTAGCCAGCTTGATGTTGAAAGAACAAGCTTCTTTTTTCCTCCAAAGCTGTATGTGTTATAATTGTTCATTAGATGGACCACTATAACATCATCTGCCTCCAAGTCCTCTTCAATTCTACCATACAACTTGCGGAAGCTAGGAAGAGCAGCAGTGCGCATCCATACAATGAGATCCTCTTGATCACTTAGCTATTAATGTAGCAACAACCCCATCAACAAATGCCAAGCAAGAGAAAGGAAAGAACACAAAAAGACAAGACTTATATCATCTGTAACAGTATATTCAGAGAATGATTTAGAACCAGTAGACTATATTTATGTGAGAAATTCTGTGAAAGATGAATCAGACAACCTAGAAATTTTCTTCATATCATGTCCATGTGAGACAATTGTTGCACCTAGGGTAATACTGAATAAGGGATATTGAGATCTAGATGTAGGGTACAATCTGGAGACAGGTGCACTTTCATTCCCCATAAAAAGGCATGAAAAATCAATTCAATCAAGAAATGATTTAATTCAATCAAGAATGATTTAACATTCCCTTTCTTGCATTGACAATTTCTATCATAGATATTCAGCACAATTTTAAAAAAGCATCGTGCTATTTTGCATAGTTGCTACTTTTATCAAAACATTGAGCCATGTAAAGTGGATAAGAGATCAGTTAAAAGAAAGAAGATCCACTTGCTCTAGAATACAAGCAATGACGGCTATGAATAAAAAAGTGGTATAGCAAAGTGAAGCGAAAGAGAATGTTGCAAGGAAGGTGATGCGTGGTGGTAATATGTTCAGATAATAAATTATGGAAAGAGCAAACTAATAAAAAGTAATAAACTGTCAATACATACAGGGATATGGGGATCTAGTTTCCCACCACCGATCAAGGTTCCATTCTGGAAATTAAGGGGATATACATGCTTCCCAAATTTGCTATCATGATCACTCTCCCATGCAATATTCTTCCTATTGATGCTCAATTCTTTTGTTCCACGAATAAATGTGTACGTGTCATTGAACAAACTCCATGCTATCAGCCCACAAGGGACAACAGGAAGACCATTATTGAACTCTTCAGGTTCACAGGAACTTGTATTGTTGGACTCAAGTCCATGTAAGAGTTGCTGATCACTTCTACTTTTCACATACCTGGAATGTATCCAGGAGTTCATGATGCAAATTAATGACCTCAGGGATAACAATGGAGAAAAGCAAGCGGCCAAGTTTTCAAGCGAGACACAATGAGAAGCAATGCTATAAGGCAATTATATAAAATAATAACGCCAGACTTAGAAACAGACTTGCGAAGGGATTTCTTCAAAAGCTCCCTAAAACAAAATAGATGCACAGCTAGCTTACTAAAGAACTTAACTGCAAAGGCAGAGCTACAACAGTACACATTGAACAGAAGGACAGGGATACAAGAAAAGTAACAATAACAAAGAAAGAACAAGAAACATCATTAACTAAACCAAAAATTCAGAAATAGCACTACAGTGGAAGTGAAGGAAAGAATCTCACCTTCTGTGATTTTGATAGTAATTGTCAAGCTGATAATAGATATAAATTGGAGCTTTCATATGTTTGCGCACCTACATAACAAGGTACAAAATGAACAAATGCGAACAACAATAGAGGAGATATGAGATTTCAATGGAATCCATGGTTACATAAATAAAATAGATTTTTCAGACTGAAGTCACTTGCAGACACAGTCTTTTCAAGCGTGGATATATATATATAAAAACCTGGTTTGTTTACGAATCACTGCATAGCACAAAATCACGTTTCCTGAGATTCATAAAATTAGAAACCACCAAAACTTCCATTTACAAAAACATGTTAGAAGACTGATGACAGTCAAACATGCTTCATGCAGTGTAAGTGGCAAGTAAACTCAAATCACAAAATGGAATAAGTGAAACCCATATCATGCAATGCCACATTCATGAAAATAAGCAATAAATAGAAGAGAAGAAAAGGAAGTATCAGAACAAGTGACAACTAAATGTTTGTGGGGAAGCACCGTACAAAGCTTTGCAAATTTTAAGAGCAACAACTGCAAAATCAACACATATTGAAGATAAATTTAATGTGGTAACAGAGTCTGACCTTGAGGACCCGAGAGCAGTTTTTGGGAAGAGAGGTATCTTTGATAAAGGACACTTTGTTGCTTCTAAAAGCCCCAGGAACACATCCCGAATCATAGCGATCAACAATTTCAACAACCTATAAGAAAACACCAATCAAAAGAAGGAAAATAAAAATCCTAATCAAAGCAAAGGGATGAAATGACAGGTAGCGAGAGTAGTTACAGTACGAGAAGCACAAAGAGTGGTAAGTCCAATAGGAACGAAAATAAAACCGAGCACCAAAAAGGAAGTGATAACCTACAAAAACAAAAAAACAAGATCAACTCTTGAAAAAGAAAAGAAAAGATTCACACACATATCTGGTGGTTGTAGATAACTGAGACTCACACAGGATGGCCTGAGGACTGGCTTACATGCTGGGAGATTCTGCTGTTTAAACTTATTCAAAGCAGCTGTTAGCAAATACACAGATAGTTTTATGAACAAAATAATTCGCTTATTTCCAATATATTCAATTTCTTAAGAAAATAAACATTACAGCTTGGTGAATCTATTGGAATTGTTCGATCTGCCGAGCTTGCCATGTCCAACTCCCTCAACGATCCTGCTATAATTTGTTTCCGGTGAAAATCAAAATAAAATAGTGAGAAGTTGGATCAAACACCGTGCAAAGCAACTAAATTAATCGCAGAGGAAGAAATCGAAGAGGAGGAAAGTGGGAGTTGGAATGAATTATTTCTGGTTAAAAGGGAAAAGAGAAGGGCATGCATGTGCGTGTGAGAGAGGGATTGCTTCCCTTCACGAATTTGGAATCATCTCTCTCTCTCTCGCCCCCCCTCTCTCTTCTTGTTGTATTGAGTCTTTGTCACTTATTTGGCTGGTTGACACTTGACAGCATTTCCATTTTCCGAAATTTCATATTCCATACAATAAATAACTCATGCATACCTTCTGCTCACAACGCCTCCGCCCATTTATTGCATCAAATTTGCTTTTAATTTTATCTAAAATCTTTACTCAAAATTAGTAACTATATAAGATTAAAAAAAAATTACCTCAGAATAGCAGAACCTTTTGGAAATTTCGACCTCAAAATTTATTTTAAATTAAATTAAATTATATATATATATATGAGTTAATTATAATGTAGTTCTTTAGCTAAAAATAATAAAAAATCCTCATGGTTTAAGAAATTATTACTTAATTCTTATTTTTTTTTATTTTTTATAACTTGATGATTTTCATCCTTTCATACTTTTTCAAACTAGATAGAAATTATCTTCATATATTCCTCGTGTGTATGAATCTTTAATTAATAATTAGATATAAATCTTGAATTCTATATGCTTAATCTTTAGCATTGATTTGGATATAAAAATTTTTATATAAGCTTGAAAGCTTTAACGGTGCAACATTTATTTAACTAGATTTTATTTTATAAAGAAAGAATTTTAATTTTTACTTGATAGGACTTTCAAGTGTTTATAATTGATATTTAGTCTTTTGTTTTTTTATTACAATTTATCTCAAATTTATTTTAATTAAATATATTTTAGAGAAATTATTATAAAAATTACTTAAAATGCTTTAGTTTGATTAGGGATTGGATGATGATAGATGTTAAGATATGAAAATAAATGTGTTTAGAGAATGGGAAAATAATTTCAAGAAATGATAAGGAAAATGAGAAATAAATGTTAAGATAAAAATTACATGAAAATGTGTTGGTGCAAACCTTAAGTAAAAATCAGTAATGTTATTGTAAAACAATAATTAGTTCATAGATGAAAAAAATAAATTGATCTCATCTATGCCACCAATTGGTCTTAATATAAGGTCACAATTGAAAAGGATCAAAGATGAAATTAATGGCCTAAGTTTAGATGTTCGAGTTAAAAAGGGTTAAATCTGTTACACTGGACCTTTGATTATTGTTTGGTTGATAACTCGAGCTTTAAAGGAGTTTTATTTCGATTCTAGTTCAGTTGAATAGTAGACATATATACTTCATCCGAACGAGATAGAATGACATGTTAGAAGTTGGGCTTGGAATCAAATTCGAGATGTAATTCTAGTATTATCTAGTTTTATGATATCAAACATAAATATTGATATGATTGTTGTAGAAGACTTAGATTTTATAGGATCCTATTAACATGTTTTTAGTTAAAACTTTAAAGAAATAAGAGTTTGAGATGGCCTTGTGAAAATATTGAAAGTAGGACTAAAATACAGGAAGATAAAACATAGACATTAAAGGGGTAAAATAGACTTTAGCAAAAAAAAAATACAACCCTTTTTCCTTTTTATATTCTAGCATGAGCTACTAGAAAAGGGAAAAATGAAGAAAAAAAAGAGAGAAAAGCTAAGTTAAACAATAGAATCCTTGAAAAGGAGTATGAGAATGACATTAAAGGTGACAAAATGATAAATTAACATGATATGATACAAAATCTAGAGAGAAATCAAGTAATGGAGATAACAAGAAGAGAGTGAAACTTTTAGACAAAGTGAAAGGAAAGAGAGGGGTGAAAGAATTTTGACTAGTTACAATTTGAAGCTTATTTTATCATTAGGTAAGGAGTTCTTGATTATACAAGTTTAAGTGAATACAAATAGAAGTGATGTTTAATTTCATAAATTTGAGTTAGGGTTATTATAACACTATCCACATGCTCAATATATGACTACATAAAATAACTAATAATATAGCATATAAAAATCACACACACACACATATAAGTGTGTTGAGTGTATTTCTTTTCATCTTTAATGCACATAAATATTTCAATCAAACAATCATATATAATTTTTTCAATACATTGATATAGTTAAAACACTTAAAATAGTAAAATATCATAATATTATAATTAAAATAAAAGGATGAAATTCATTGACATTAACAAATCTTTACTATAATAACTTAACAATCCATGTAATTCAACAAATAAGTTTATTAAAATTTTCTAAGTAGTAGTATGATTAACATAAAATATAAAAATCCTACAACTAATTGAAAACTAATAAAATATAATCAATAATCATTCCTTTCTTTCAATTGGCTTCTATTCCTAAGTTGTATGTCCAGCACCTTCCTAATCTTTACTACTGCAACTAATTATAAATTCCATATTATCCCTATACTTGTGGTTAATATATTAATTTTATGATCAAGTCTTCATTTTCTCATGATTGACTTGATGATAACAACTTTGGGTCTCTATTCTTATGGCCAACATCCACACATAAGAATGCATCCACCTTACCTTTAAAGAGGCGTTAGCCTTAGCCCCAACACATGTGGTTGATTATTTTGCATGAAAACCATATGCACTTGTTTTTGTAAATTCAATTTTAATCAACTAAGCCCTACTCATAGGGTTGATTTTTCATTCAGCAACCCAACACTTATTTAAATAAATCTTCATATTGAGATTTCATAAGTACTTACTATTCCACAACACATATCATACAAATCAATAATCATGTTATTGAAATTAGTAACTTATAACAATTACTATAAATTAAAGAGGTTTTAAGGTGATAAACACCTATATGTTCCTCTCGTTGGTCCTATTCTACTTTCTTAAGATCTTATAGCTGATACCTCTTTTGTATCACACCAAGTCTCATATCATATTTTCTACTTAATAATATTAAGAACACACTACTCAGTATTCTTTTAACAATTCAGATATTTATTACTCATTAATACATGTATTTTTATATCATTACATAAATGTTTTTACTTCACATTCCAATATATGAAATGCTATCATACAAGTTATTTCCATGCATACCCACTTAATATGTTTTCTGATCCACATAATAATCATTCATATTTCTTAAACAACCTAAAAAAATTGAATAAAAAACAAGAAAAGACAAAAATACAAAATCAAACTACACAAAATGGTCTTGTTATTTTGAGAAATGGTTTGACTATTTCTTGAATCAATTGAGTCATTTCTCAAAATAACTAGGCTGATTTAGCTATTGGAAATTTTTCCACTTTTTTTTTTCTAGTTGAAACTTCATCCCTGAAATCTTGAGTTTTTCATTCATTTCAAGATTAACTCATTCTCATGTAAATTTCATACTTAATACACCAAATGATGAGTAAATTTCATACTTAATACACCAAATGATGGGTTCTTTAAGGAGATACATTCAATTTCTACAAATCTCTAAAATTCAAAAACTCAATAAATTAAATCTTTCACCAGGCTTTCATGGAAGCAACAAGACATATTTCATATAAGATGTCCCCTTAACATTCATCATTCATAATTTGCAACAAAGAACATATAAGACACCTTTATCTTGGGGTTATATTCTAAAATTTTTATAAATAACATATTTTTCCTAATTTTTTCATCAACCCTAATTTTCTTAGGGATTGGGGATATTGCTTTCTACCCCTCAATCTCATCTCAAAGTACATTATTTGGGTTTAATAGACACTTTATCTTATTTCTTGAACTTAATTGAACCCTTTTTGAATAAGTTTTTTTGACTAAATCTTCTCTTCCTTTCTTTTCTTAATCTTTCTTTAAGTTCTTATTTCTTTTTATTGTGTTCTTGATTTCTAGCTTATGTAAAGTTTCACTTTATAAATCTATCTCTATGTGTTTCTCTCAATTTCTTGTTTTAAATTATTTTCTTTAAGAGACTACAGTTAAAAAAAGAAGAAGTTATCTCCCTTTTAATCTTTTTTTAATTCAAAATAATGACTCTTTTCCCTTTAAGAAAAGCTTTTTATATTCAAAACAGTGACTATCTTCCCTTTAAGAGAGGCCACTACTTTTTTTTCTCTTTTTTCCTTTAAAAAAAAATTAAAATTCATTCTACTTACCATCTAAATCTCTTCTTTCACGTCCAACCCAATTCTTCTTCTTTTTTTTTTTACAATTTCAGTCTTTTTTTTTGTTTATTTATTTTTAGACCCTTAAAAGAAAACACTAATTATTTCATTTTATTCTTCTTATAATAAAAACTTATGGTATTACATTCTCTTATCTTAACAAAAATTTCATTCCTAAAATTTAGTTTTTCTTACCTTAATCATCAAATAAACTTGGTTTCTTTCTCTTAATCACATCGTCTCTCTCCCATGTTTCTTTTTTAAATTTAAGAGTTGCTTTATAACACCCTTACTAAAGGAACTTTCTTATTTATCAACTCTTTTTCTCTTTTATCCACGATCATTATCGGCTTCATTTCCACTATTTAATCATCTTGAATCTCTATTGGGACTTATAGAAATACATGTGAAGGGTCCATCATGGCCTTTCAAAGTAACAATACATGAAACACATCATGCACCTTTGACATCATTTTGACATCATATGAGGTAGTTCCAACTAGTGGGAATTTTCCTTATAACTTCGAACAAACCAATATATCTTGGAGTAAATTTACCTTTCATTCTGAATTGAATGATATTTTTTCATTTAAAAACATTCAGCCTTTGATCTCAAACTCTATTGATCTTCTTCGATTGTCAGCATAGCTTTTTTATTTGTCCTAAGCCATCTTCATTCTTTCCTTGATAACTTTAACTTTATTTGTAGTAATTTGTACCAATTTAGATCCTAATAGTTTCCTACCATCTACTTTGTGATTTCTGCAACAAATAAACTCATTCATTGTCAATTAGTTATCTTAACTTGTTGTATATAATATTTATACCTTGGTTAAAAAAATGGATGAATTAAATTATCAAATAAATTAGGGTGTTATTTGCCTAGTGAAATGAAATAAAACTAGATTATATTTTGTATGATATTTTCCATTTATGATGAACAAAGTGTTCATACTTCCTAAAAGTAGAACATAAACAATTTTAATATGGTTCGATAATTGCTTACATTCACATTCATAGAGCTACTAATTTTATTTTTTCAAAGAAAAATCAGAATTTATAATGGAGAAGGAGAACTCTCTTCTCTCCTCACCTCACACACTCTTTTCTCTCAATCTTAATATTTTAATTTTCAGCTTGATTGCAAGTTTACTTATTTTTGCTTCTATTCATAATCAACAATGGGAAGCAAGTTGTAAATAATCTAGCTTAATTTCACATTCATCCTTTTATAATGGCACACAATTCAACTAATAGTGGCACACAATCCAACCAACGAAGACACATAACTAACTCAATTTGCAACAACTTTTTTACTTCAAATAGGAGAGGAGGGTTATTTGTCTCCATTGCTTAACAATCACTCACTTAAAGATAAACAACATCAGATCTATATTCTACCTTAAAGACCTACTAAAGTTTTTAATAACTTTATTTTTTCAAGTGTAACTTCCTTGTTTACATGTTAGCTTGATTTTCTTTCACATATCTTGTAAACCCTCATGTAAATGTAAGACTAAAAATAGTAAGACCTCAATGAATGATGGAAACCGAGATAAGAAAGAATAGATAAATGATGATAATAACAATGATTGTGATGTATAATGGAGGGCTAATTTCCATAAAATAAATTTTAGTTTAGAATTCATAATAACAACAAACTAATAATGCATTTTAATTATAAAATAATAAGGAAAATGAAAAAAAAAAGGAATAAGTGAGGTAATAAAGAATAAACTATAAAAAAAGGATAGTACAAATTAAAAAAAATATTTCAAAATAATAAAATGATCCTAAGGGTTTAGAAGGATAATTGATATAATTTATGTGAGGATTGAACAAAAAACAATCTAAATTATTGATAAAAAGTCACTAAATGACCAATTTTATACTAAAGAGTAGAGTTCTCAATCTAACTGTAGGATTAAAATAAAATTTCTCATAAAATCTATAAATATGTTGTCCTACCCTTTTTTAAGATCTCATCTCAATTGAAGTTCAGTAAGGATTAGCAATTTAAGCATAAAACTGGATAGTTTATATGAAAAATAAAATAAAATACATAAAGGTATAAATGAGAGAAAAAGTTGTAATTAATGAAAAATAACCTTTAAAATAACAAAGATGTCGATTAATCCATACATAACTCTTAATTTATTTATTTTTCATTTTGGATGGTGGAGATTGAAAATAAACTCTTTAGCAAGGTTTTTTTTTCATGTTGAATAATAGCTTATCAATTTTCAGATTAGCTTGATTTTATTTCAATTTAGAAAGATTTAATCATTGGCTCATTTTGAATTTGAGATATATTGTAAAGACTCTAAGATTTATATTCTAAGTTAGAGACCAGTATTCGTTAGATATATTATGCAAGATTCCATCATCTAGGGAGATTTCTTAAACATCATTTATTTCAAATTGGTTTAGCTCATCTTGCAAGGCTAAAATCTAATTTGAATCTTTTTTAGCTTCTATGTAGGATTTGGGATCTATATACAAAACAATTGTATAATGCTCATTGATGTTGCTAAAAGATGTTCTAGTCTTAGTTAAGAAGTTATTGATACTTCAAGTGCAAAATGATGATATAAAACCTTGATAAAAATACTCTTTTAAGTACTAATCACTTTCCTTTTAAATTATCTCTAAATGTGACTTTTCCAGCATTGATCTTGGTTATACTTGAGAACAATGAATCATCTCCGGTCATATGTCTTAAGTAAGCATTCTCAAAGAATTATTCCTCATATTCTCTTGATTCCTACACATATAAAATCAAGATAAGATTTTTGGTACTCATACCTTCTTGGGTCTTTTTGTAACCCAAGTCATATTACCAACTTTTCCCTTTTTTATAGAACATGCATAAATTAAATGACCAATACTTTTACAATAATAACATGTATAACAAAGTAGTTCTTCAAATATTTTGTTTTTCTAAGTTAATACCTTAGACCTTTTTTGTTAAAGATATTTTTTTTAACTAGCAAGCATGGTATCTAAAATCTTAGAACATTGAGTGAACTTTGCTAGTGTGATATTCAATTTATCCACTTTTCCTTTTAAAGCCTTATTTTCCTCTTCAAGTTAATTAACCTTGTCATTATTGATAATAATGCATGCTTTCTTTTCTAACACATCTTTTTCAACAAGTAAACATGCGTGACTTTTTTTCAATGAACTATATTTATGACTTAACTTTTTAAATTCATCTTATAATAATTCAAAGGCATCATGTATAGTTCATCATAAGAGAGGTTAGACTCATCATCCAAAAAAGTACCTTATTATCACTTTCAATTGCCATGAAACCATGTTTGCAACATGTTCTTCATCATCATTTGAGCTAGAATCTGAGTCATCACTCCATGTTACTTTCATTGCTTGTTTATGATGATGATTCTTCTTCTTTTTTAAAAAAAGAAGGCAATCGACCTTAACATGTCCCATCTTGTTGCACTTGTAGCTTCTAAGTGCAACCTTGCTAGATTCTTCCTTATTTTGATCCATCTTAAAGTTTAAGAACTTTTTATTCCCTTGTTTCCTTCTTAAGAAATTCCAGAATTGACTTGTTATAAGTGGAATTTTTTCCTCCATTTTATCATCATCATCATCATTATCAACATAGTGTATGGTTTTAAATGTCAAATTCTTATTTGGCTTCTTATCTAGTTCTTGCTTTTTCATGGTAATTGTATGAGTTATTAGTGAATCAATGAACTCTTTCAATGAAAGCTTAACGAGATCCCTAACTTCTTAGATTGTCGTCACATTTGCTTCCTGAGACTTTAGCAAGGACATAAGAGTTTTACTCACAATATTAGTATTAGTATAAGTCCTACTAAGAGTATCCACACTAAGCAATTATACCACTTAAAGATATCTCTTAGCAATACCTCATCGATATCAAAAGTTTATTCAAACTCTCAAGTGTTTACAATAAGATTCATTTTCTCAAAAAGTAGATTATAAAATTGAAAACTTTAATATCTATAGCTTATTCAATAACACTTAGGATGATTAAAGGTGTGTAAGTATAATGAGTGTGATATTTTATAATCTTATGCTATAATATAAATATTTAATTTAGCACAACTTAGAGTATGTTAATATTGATGATTTCTAATTGATTTTTCTTTTGGAATAACTTTTGTATCATATATGTATCTCTACTTTTATATATATATATATATATATATATATATAAATTAGTTATTTATAGCCATTAGAATACCTCTATCGCTTAAAGCGGTTAACCAATTTTCAAATGACCATATAAATCAATCAATTAGTTCCTAAAAATTCTTATCTTCAAGATTTTTTTCTTGATAGCAATACCTCATCAATATCAAAAGTTTATTTAAACTCTAAAGTATTTACAATTATAATTTGTTTACAATAAGATTTATTTTCTCAAAAGTAGATTTTATAATTGAAAACTTTAATATCTATAATTTATTCAATATCACTTAGGATTATTAAAGGTGTGTAAGTGTATTGAGTATGACATTTTATAATCTTATGCTATAATATTAAGATTTAATTTAGCACAACTTAGAGTATGTTAATATTGATGATTTCTAATTGATTTTTTTTTGGAATAACTTCTATATCATATATGTTCAAAATCTCTATTTAATTTTGCATTATATATATATATATATATATATATGTTTGTTTGGAGTCTTTAGAATGCCTCTCACGCTTAAAGTGGTTTATTGATTCAAATGACCATATAATTCAGTTAATTGATTCCTGTAAAATTTTTAAGTGTTTATCATAAATAAATAATAATCAACCAGTTCATTTGATATGTCTAAGCAATCGATTAGTTAAACTTAAAAATTAGTTTTTGTAGTTTCAAACCAAGTAAAATTTGAATTGAATAAATATATATCAATCATATTTATACATGCAATGTAATGTGTGTGAATTTATTTTAATTTATTATTGAGTAAAATATAAAAATTAAAAAATAAGCTCTAAAATAAATTCTTAACAATTAAATCTTCATTTGCTTTGTAATTTAGACTTAATTATAAATTTTTTCATCCAATTTCATATATTTGTTAATATAATTTTCATACAAAATCTGATTAAATTTAATCTTATTCAAGCATATTATTATTTTATTTTTTGTTTAATTATTATAATCAAAATACACGTATTGTCTGCCTTGGCCACACAAAATTTGTTCGATATCAGGAGGGATCAAATCAACAACACAGCAAGAAATCAAAACAGAATTTAAAGATATGGTTCAAGAAAACTTAGAAAAGATATATTCTAACATATGCACATATTCTCCAAATCTCATAGAGAGGAAGAAGAGAATACTTAACAAATAAGAAAAGAATGGAAAGGTATTTAACATTTTAGAAACCAGACTTCCAATTGCCACAGAAACAAGACACAATTAATCTCAAGCGAAAATTGATGCTCACTCGGTTTGAGAATGCTGTAGACAATGCGATGAAATATTCCCACGCTCAACAAACCGTAATAACAGATTGTCTGCTTCCTCTGACTTTCCTTCCTGCATTAGTTTCTTGCACACCTTCTCACACAACTTTAAATCAGGAATCAGACCTCGACTAAACATACGACAAGCCACTTTATATGCTGACAGAGGGATCCCTTTTCTCAAATAACTCTCCATGAGCACATGGCATGTGTTAGCATCAATTCTTGAGGCTGTTCTCAAAACCTTACCTAAGAGTTTATCAGCCGCCTCTAGGTTTCCAAAAGTACATAGCTTCTCAATAACTTGATTAAATGCAGTTCTACAATCTTGCCTTGTAAGCATTTTATCTAATAAATTTAATAAATCTTCCACCCTACCTATTTGACCATATCGATGTATCACTGTTCTATACGTTACTGGCGTAGGATCTATACCCTTCTTCAGCATCTTCAACGTAAGCTCAGTGGCCTCTTCTATTCTACCTTTCTTTCCTAATGCATCAATTATCGTCGTATAAGTGACTGCATCAGGGTGTTTGTTGCTTAGATACATGTCATCAAGCAAAGATAAAGCTGCTTCTATGTCATCCTGCTGACAAAATCTGTGAATTACAGTAGTAAAGTTTACAGCATTGACAGCACACCCCATGTTAAGACACTCCTCCATAAACTTTTTTGCCTCGTCCACCCTGCCGATCCGGCAGAGAGACTGAATTAGCAAGTTAATTTCAACTGGAGTTGGGAAAAAGCCCTTGCCAATCATCTCCCTCACCACATCACAAGCATCAGACAGCTTTCCTTCTCTCCGAAATCCATGCATCACAACACTATAGGTAATAGCATTTGGGGTCCACCACTGTTCCTCACTCGCTTTCATCATCTCCCTTGCCTCTGATGAGTTCCCCTTTTGACAAAGCCCTTTTAAGAAGGCTGTATATGATACAGTGTTTGGTTTGCAGCCATGCTTGTACATTTGCTGAAGCATCTTCCTAGCTTGACCAACCTCCCCAGCCTGAGAAAATCCATTAATAATGGCTGTGTAAGTCACAACATCAGGGATGCAGCCCCTTGTGAACATTTCATTTACAATTTCTTTCGCGTGGTCCATCCTTCCCTCCTTACAATATGAATCAACTATCGCACTATACCCAACCTTATCAACCTGAAAACCCCTTTTTTGTGCTTCTCTTAAAAACTGAAGTGCCTCATCTGCATGCTGATGCTTAGAAAGCATATGTATTAATGTATTATAAGTAACCTGATCCGCTAACAACTTAGTATCCTCCATTTTCTCTAGTACGTCCCTCACTTCTCTGATCCTTCTGTTCTTGCAAAGGAAGCCCATTACAGTATAGTAACTAACTTTATCTGGGAAGCATCCTTTCAATGGCATTTCAGAAATTAGCTCCATGGCATCTTCAACCCTATGAAGATCACAATATCCCTTGATCAAACAGTTATAAGTGACAACATTTGGCATGATTCCAAGAAGTTGCATTCTCTCTAGAAATCTCAAAGCCTTTTCCAACCTATTTGCCATCACCAAAACATGTATAGCAGTGTTACAAACCAACAAATTAGGTTCAATACCTGCTTTCTGCATCATGGTCAAGACCTGCATTACATTCCTCAACTTACCAGCCCGACTATAAGACACCATCACACAACAAAAATCTTGAGGCGTACGCTGAATTCCCCTACGTGCCATGAGCCGAAGAACCCTCCTAGCACCTTGACACAGTTTAGTTTTGCTAAGAACATCAAGCATCACACAGTACACAATTGGGTCATGCCGATACCGCCATTGTCTGTCGGACCAAAAGAAGAAATCCAAAGCAACCCTTTCATCAGATTGAGACAGCAAAACAGCACAAACAAGTCGAGGCTTGAGGCCTCTTAGCAAGTGCCTCATTTTCCCTTCAAGCTTATGGTTCCAGGCCGACCTGCATTCAATCAACCTACAAATTTCTCTGACCAAAGGATGTCGAAATTCAACTTCGTGTATATCAATTCTCCTCCAATCCTCATCCATTTTGGTGCCTTGATTCCTATCAGTAAATGAACTGTTACCTTGGCCGCGTTCTTCATCAGATTCTTCAACCTCATCACTAAAACCATCAGAATAAGCTTGACAGTGAGCATTGCTAAAATTAAAACCCATTTTGCCGAACCCGTCATTTGCATCATAAGAATTCTCAGTTTCAACAGGATGGGAAGTGAAATTAGCAGTTGAAGAATCAGAATCAAAATAAGAATGAGGACCATGATTTGTTGAAGAAAAAAGTGAAAGAAACATATGAATATAGGGAAATGGGGTGGTGCGGTAATGCTTTTTGGCAGTATGAACAAAGTAAAAGAAAGGAATATTGGCTACAAGCTTTGGGAATTTGGAGTAAGGAATGCAATTATATAGCATTTTTTTTAGTTTCAATGAATAAAAGTAAAAGGATGTGATTAACACAAGGAATGAAAGAGTAATCAGCTTCTCTGCCTCTGCATCTGCCCCTGAGGATCCATTCCAATGAAAAGCTTCCTTCAATATCTGACCTAATCTAATCCAAAAACATAACACTAAAACTGGAGATTGCTTTGTGGATTCGCTTCGGACATTGAAAGGGACAGCGTTAATCGGTTAGAAAGGACTGAGGAGGGACTTCGAACACTATGTGTTAAAGGAGGTTTTGAGAGGTCGGAAGAGAAAGGAAGTTTGGTTTAAAAAAACCCTCGATCGCGAACCTCTCAAGTACTTCAAAAATCATCCCACTTCAAATTGGGATTTTTTAAGGATTTAAGATTGTTAAATGATCTAAATATCCTTAACATAAAATAAAAAATTTACTTTACATAAATATTTATTTTAATAATTTAATAATTAATAATTTTTTTATAATCCTCTCATAAAAAAGGAGAAATTTTGAAATAGTTTATATTTTTTACGATTATAATTATAATTACAATTACGCTCGTAATTACAATGTACATTCATTTGTAATTTACATAAATATAGATTATAATAGTTTTTTTATTTATTTTAGTTGTTAGACTTTTTTATTGCTTTCTTTTATAAGATGATTTGGGCGTTTTATTAGGGTTAATTTCTTACCTCTATGTGTTATAATTATTTAAATGTTTTTATTAGATTAAAACCTTATCGAAACTGGTTTAATAAGATATAATTTGAACTAGAAATAAATATATGGTATGTTGTCAGGCTATGTCGCCTGCACATGTTAAAGTATGAAAAGAAATTTATGACACGATTAAAAGATTGATGTATTCTCCCAAGTGCAGGAGTGTCGAAGTAATAAATAACCCAGCAAGACTGGGATCGAACCACAGAGAGGTTGATTATATAAATTACAGATAACAATAATAATAGTAATAACAATAATAATTATAACAACAACAACAACAATAACAACAACAACAACAAGAATAATAATAAAGAAAAAGAAGGAGAAGAAGAAGAAGAAGATGATGAGAACTTTGAGATGGAAAATTAACGTAAGGATTAAACAATGATAACAAACAATGTCAAGGTTAGAGGATCCACTAATGGTATGTCAAACAA